ATTTGAAGAGTGGCGATGCAGCGTATAGCCGCAGAATCTCATCTCAGTAAAGACAGAGTTGATGCAGGAAATGTGAGAGAGCAAATAAATGGAAGAGATAAAAGAGATCCAATCACAGTGTTTCTGTTAAATGCCCCGGCATCGTTGTCCATGTCGTTTTATGAATATATCTTTAATTATTGCTCTATTGATTGATCGTTGATTCTTGCACCATGAATCAGAATTAATTCCATTTTCCTCTTTATTAGTTAATATATTCATTCAGACATTGAACAAAGACCATCTTGCATATTAATTCCAATGGAGCAATTTTCGCAATTTCTTTCTATACATGAACTATCATTTTTCATAATGATATCATTAACATATGCTCGTATATAAAATCTAGCCGAAGCATCTTCATCAAATACATAGTTTTAAGGCCACTGTCGATCATTGAACTTGATTTTGAATCAAAATGGATTTCGTTTTCACTATATATATATTTGACAATGTGTGTGTGTGTGTGTGTGTGTTTGTTGCTCACGCAAATGAGAAAAGAAATGTCAGTCATAGTACTACGAAAGAATGTGTGGACAAATTTCGCATGTCATCTATTGAAAGTTCATTATGGTAATCATGAAACAACGAGCATCGTTTTGACTATGCTGTATAAGGTAGAGAAGACAAGTAAACATGTGTTTTGTACATGCGTTCATACTTTTACCAGAAATTTCTAAAATGCAAAGTTCATTGTAATTTGTAGCTTACTAGTCAATAAATAGCTCATCAACGAACTGGTCGGCAATATTAGAATATTAGAAAGTGCGCTGAAAAAATCGGGCAATTTTTTTTAATTATATCCCAACAAATAATGCTTCTCAAGCCATTCAATTGATGTCACCGGACCATTGTTGGCCAATTTTTCATTAAAATGTAAATTTGCACATGTACAATGTACCATGGCATATACCTCAATATCGAAAATGTACAGTATGTGACCTATCTTTTCATTCATCAAATGACACGCTTCAAAATATGCAATCATTTTTTACGATATGTCTAACAAATGTGTTAATCAGAACTTTTTTCTATTAATCTAATTTGTCTGCTGCGACAGGTGAAATTTCAGAATAGTAGGCAACGTGTGCAAAATTATTTTCTCTTGAATTCAACTTTCCCTTTCTATTTTACACGTGTTCTATACTGTATTTGCACAGCAACTGGTGCAAAACGAGTAACACTAGAAAAAAGCTTTTTTTCAGAGTCTATGTCAATAATTGATTAATAATTTGAGCATTTAATGAAATTAGAACGATTCCAATCTACAGCCGATTCCGTTCCAAAAATGTAATGCAACGAAGTATATGTGATGTTCCGTCTCAACTCATAACTGCCAACTATCTTTACAAACATTGGATTATTTCCAATAGAAATTGTGAATCATTTGGGCCAATTCGCATAATGCGAGTACAAAATTCCATTGATACAAAATATCAATAAAACTATTTAATCGCGAAAAAATAAAATAAATAATGATATATTGGGAATAGCATCGAGAATTTTTGTTTTATAATTCGTACCCATCGAAAAATGAACATAAATTGGTTTTTTTAACCCTCGGGTTAAATATTTAACCTTAACAACATAAATTGACCGTTAATCTCTTGCATTTCTCACACATTCATATCATACATTCTCCAGGACAGATACTTCGTTTGATTTGATAGATCAATTGTGAAAAAGGTGGCCACAGCTTAGCTTTCAAACCGTGAATTGCTGTTGTAGTGGTTTGTGAATGGAGATGGTGTCGACATGGATTTGTTTCGACATTTTGCCAATGAAAATCAAACTAGATTCCAGCTATTTTTTAAGAACAACAAATGATCGTGTGGTGGAAAATACGCTCATACGTTTGTAAGCAGGGATTATCTGCACGTAGATTTATTCAAATAAATTAAAAATATCAAATAAATTTATCCGATATTGTTCATGCGTTGCATTGTTGTAACGCATCTGCAGTACAAAGTTCATATTCTCTTCCGGATTTGCCAACTCAAATTTGAGGGTGTGCGAGTGGAATTCGGCAAAAATGATGTGATTTAGCATCCCACGGGGATGCATAGTGGAGGACCTCGCTTCTAGAATACATTGGACCAGGTCGGATCCACCTGCTCCACAGGATTCACTTCCAGATTTGGGAAGTCAAATTTGAGGCTGATCCAAGCGGAATTCGGCAAAAACAATGCGATTTAGCATCCCAAAGGGATGCGCACTGGAGGACTTCACTTCCAGAATACAATGGACCAGGTCGGATCCACCTGCTCCACAAGTTTCACTTCGAGCTAAGGCAATATTTTATAAACGCTATTTTTAAGTATAAGCTGAAAACAGAACTAGTAAAAACTTCTGAAATATTGCTTGAGCTGGAAGTGAAACTTGTGGAGCAGGTGGATCCGACCTTGTCCATTGTATTCTAGAAGTGAAGTCCTCCACTATGCATCCCCGTGGGATGCTAAATCGCATTATTTTTGCCGAATTCCGCTCGGAACACCCTCAAATTTGAGTTGGCAAATCCGAAAGAGAATATGAACTTTGTACTACAGATGCGTTACAACAACGCAACGCATAAACAATATCGGATAAATTTATTTGATACTTTTAATTTATTTGAATAAATCTACGTGCAGACAATCCCTGTTTGTAAGACATCTTTAAATTTTAGAAATAGATTATTGAGTATAGAAGTAGAATAGTATTGAAGTAAGTTTGAAATGTGAATACTTCAACTGGTGCATATGTACCTAATTCCAATCAAAACCAGTCGGAAGAACATAAAAATAGTATCGGGCATTCCAACTGTTCATATACAGTTTGCAGTTGGCTATTAGAATTTATATTATCTACGTTAGTATTCATTAGGCAAGTTTTTGCTATGTTTCCGTTTCAATAGCAATTGCAAAATGATGTGACTAGTTTCAACTTTCAGCAGTGTTTCATTGTGTTCTGATCATGTTTACCTTTGAAAAGCAATAATGTATTTGTGAGTTTTTGTTTTGAAATCAAAACTTTATCACGAAGTAATTGATATAATTGTCGCAAAATAATTTGAATTGTGTACGATGTAATGGTTTCAGTACTGCATGATATATATATATATTCAATTGGATACCATGAGGTTTTTCTGGATTTAGTATCCAAAATACTTTTGGTATGCATGGTTTCCGAACGATATTGAGGTAATTCAAAAATGTATCGTCTCCGATAAAGTGTGGTTTTAAAATTGACGCTTTCAAAATAGGAATCATTTCAGCAAAGACTGAACACCTCAACACAGGTGTAATACACCTTTTTCCCTTCCTTGAAATCTTCAAAGGGTATGATAATACAGCAAATAACTCCAGAAAAAAAAACAATTTAAATGAAAAAATTGGAACAAAATAGTTTGTGATAAGCTTGTTATTCAACGTTCGCTGGCTTTGTAACCCTTTTTATATTATGAACCTACGCTAGCTTTAATAGAACGATTTTTTAATGTTTATTCAAGACAAACGCATGAAACTGAAAGCAAACCGCGATGACAATAGCTACAAAAAGCAGAAGGCGATGAATTGAAATACTGCGGAAATGAGTGGAAACTGAAGTGTATATTTGCATTAGACTTTGCGTTACAAAGTGCTTGATAAAAATAAAACTATTTTTTTTCCTTGTTAAATATTGTGAAAATGCACACTGAATGAGCGCAATGCTTATTTTACATCTTCTTTTCAAAAATTAATTAACATCTTTGTGACTGATGAAAGCTACTGCACCATCTATAAATTTAAGGAAGAGATATAGAAAAAAGAACAAGTTGTATTCACAAAATGATGTGATTTCGTATATAAAAGATGAAGTGAAGTAGAGTACGATAAAGAACTTATTTTCCGGTTGCCACATCCCGCATTGACCAATTCAAAATCGTGCGTTATGGTGATAACAGAGTTTATTTTTGGCGAGCAATGAGAGAACCGCATCGTGGCACAGAATTACTTAGAACAACTAAGTTTCGCAGTGTTGTAATCGATTTCAAAGTTTAAAGAAGAAAATTTGGCTTCTAATTTCGGTGTTCCCTTCATTCGTTCAGCAAGGCTTTTGGTGAATTTTTTTCTTAAAACAAATATTAAAGCAAATTGGGCCTTAGTAACAAATTCATAAATATTAACATATTCATCCAAATGTCATCGGGCGTTTTGTAATATTCAAAGTCTAAAGGTTGTTTTGATTTTGAATTAGTAATATACACATTGGTTTCATGCCAGGGACACATATGAAGGGAGTAGAGATGTAAATAAATGGGTCTCTGGAGAAAAAACCCGAACACGGTCAAAATGAGGCAGTTTTGCACACAATTCAAATTTGTTATCTTTTGTTCTGCGTTATATTTATACCCAATAAAAGTGAACCAACATCAAGATTTATTGTAATCAAATATCATAAGCCCAAATAGTATAGCATTTCGATTCAGTCAGTTGCACTCAATGGAACAAGCAATTAATTCGGGCGTTTTTATTCTGTTGCCACATGCGGTGTAATTGCGGATGCAGCTCGTCTCTATGCATTTAGAGTTATGGTCGCTCGAAGTTGAGCTTGGATAGGTAAAAAAATAATGCAAATACCGTTCTTTCATCGTAATTTACGTTGACGAAAAACAATTTAGTTGAATATATGATGTTTCCGATAGAAGGCGGAACTCACGGCTCCAAATTATTCAACTTGGACACTTTATGAATATTCTTGTTCACACATTTCATCGGTGAAATACGAAAAAATGTTAAATACTTTGCTGTGACAAAGCTTGAATATCATCAAAGTTCAGTCCAATTTCGTTCAGTATTCGAATGTGTTAACTAATTTTTTTTGTACGTTCGGAATGACCAATGACCGGAATGCGAGAATGGATTGCCGATAGCGTATTATCAATGCACATATACATACGTAGACAAACCCGAAAATGAGAGGGGAAAAAATGTTGTACTCACCGTTAATGTCATCGAACGGTTGTTTGGACTGCCGTTCATCGCGCGTTGCACTCGTCATTCAGTGTGTGGTTTTATTTGCTCTTTTTTTTCGTCTATTCATTTGCGAATCGTTCGGTTTGTAGATATGCATACATACGTGTTTGCATATGATGCAAGGCATGGTGTTGTGTGTTGGTGTCGGCAGTTCTGTGTTTGTTCTTCTATGTTTCTTGTTTTTATTCTTGGAGTTGTTCTTTTTTTTATATCAAACGAAACGCTTTATTGCCAATTGACATATAAAAATTGTATTTCTTGCCAATAATATAGCATTTGCTTTTCGTTTTCCCTTCATAAAATGCCTTGAATTATGACCATAATATTTTTTTGTATTGCTTTTCAATAACCACATCACAGAGCGGCATTCTTCAATTTCGGTAAAATTTTCTGATAACGAATTTGCGTTATTTTCCACGATAAAGTTATGAATATTATTGACAGCACATTGAGACACTTTTGTTTCCATCAAATTGTAGGAAGAAAAAACAAAGCCAGAAAAAAAAGTTATACCAAACAGGCAAAAAAAATAATTTGTATGCATATTTGCCAAAGCACATTGAAGTTCATTGTTTTCCGGTAGAAAAAATTGTGCACCAGACTTTGTTTGTAAAGATTGCGTTTGTTTTTGTATCGTGTGTGTATTACTTTGTGTTTCGTTTTAGTTTAACTCATATTAGCCTCAGTTCTTATCGCTTGCTTATCTATTTTCTAAACATGCATTTGATTTCTGACTAACTGTTGGTACGAATTTTTTTTTCTCAGAACAACACTATGACAAAACGTTCGATTGCAAGTTGATTACAAATAAATGAAATAAAACAGAATTCTGTAATCTGAATGTTTCGATAATTTTCAAATTTTAGTGAATAGAAATAGAAAGATAAAATATATGATAAAAATGACTTATCAGCTGACTATTTGAGTATTGTTTATTAACAACACATCACACTTCCTGTTGAATTCAAACGATTTTATTAATCCTGAGCTCTATCGGGACTACAGATAAGATAGGATGAACTTTCGGTTTATCCGACTTCACAATATTTGTTTTATCGAACCTATTTTTATGATGGAATTTTATCAAACAACCAATGTTAGACGCTGCTCACATATTCGCACATAGAACGATGCAGTACACACAAAGCGAAAATATCAATAAACAAACGAAATAAATTGATTATAAAATTCTTTCGAAAATTCAATGTCAACTAAGTCTAAATTGGAATTCTCACAATTTTCTTTATGATTCTTTCGGAAACAGAATCCTCTAGTATGCTATGTATGCACTGTGTGCAAAAAAATACACGGGATATTCAATGAATTTACATATAGTACGCAAGCATTCTGAAGGTATTCTGACATGTAAAAATCCTCGCCGATAGAACGAAAGATAAAAATTTTTATATTTTTTTTCCCATCCTGACTGGATGGTATCTAAATGTAAAAAATACATGGGGCACAGTCACATTTCATATCAATACACAAGATTAAACTGAATATTTATTTCAAGTCGTTTGAAATACTTCATATTATTATTATTATTGTTGTTCGTTCTTCACAGATGGACAAAGTCAGTAAAAAAAAACCAGCAGACCAACTTTGACGGAATCACAATTTTATTCAAAGAATTTCCTATGCGTATTCTGAATGAATAGATTAAAAAACCAGCACAAAGCTCGGATTTTATAATGTGTAATTTTTACACAAATCGCAGAACAATCGCGCTTAAACGAGAAAAAAAAACAACAGAAATATTTGTATACCTCACTCATCCAGCGTAAAACAAATCACATAAGCAACTGACCGTTCGTCGATTTTCGATTCAACGCATACACGATGATGTTGTTTTACGTTCTTCTTCTTGTTATGGATTTTCGGTTGATACTTTGAAGAGAGCAAATAGACGGTGAATTGGTTTGCAGGCAGTCATGAAGAGAGCGACAGAGAATGTGTATGTATGTGTGTATGTGCGTGTTTGGATACATATGTGTGTGTGTGTATGTGTCGGCACTTGAGCTTTGTTTCGCTCCCAGTGAATCCTCTCCTTTAATAGTGCCATCTCTTTTACTACGTCTCTACACAATGCGTTCGGTATGCGTTCGCAAATAATCAATGCTATCGTTTCTCTTTCCATTGCTCTTTCTCTTACTGCAAAATATGAAGCATAGTTGCGGTTGTTGTTATCCACCGTTGCTGTACACTCAGCCATTTACTCTCTCTCTCTCTCTCGGGTGTTTCTTTCATTCTGTTCCGACACATTTCGTATGCCGCGCGCATATATGTATGTGTTTGTGTGTGTATGTGGTTGCTTCGTTGCGAGAGAAGAAATTATATACACACACGGTAAAGCAGGGAACGGTGAAGCAAATCGAATAAACGTTGATATTCACATTGGATTCATCATACGTATGACAATATTTTTCTCTTGTTCAAGAAACATCTTACCTCACATTCTCAATTTTAGCAACCAATTTGATATTTTTCATGGCCTCAAATGCTCACTTGGATGCTTGGGGGACTTGCACATAATATACCGATAGGTTCACCATTTATTTTCATGAAATTTATCTAATCTTCCGAAAACAATGCGAGAAAGAGCAAAGTTCCCATTAGCAGAAGTACTTTTTCGGGAAATTGAGCATTAGGAAAATTTACATGTGTGAACCTGCATTTTATAGGCTTGTCGTTAAGAGGCTAGTTGTGTCGAAAGAAAACCAAAGCTGCATACCAAGTGGAGAATGCTCAACTATGTTCCATGTCAGTTTGATTGATTTTCCCTAGCACCCAGACCTCAATAGCACATGCACCTCTATGGAACCTCCGTATTCAGGTTACGCAATACCAAAATTTCTCTTTTTCCCCGAATTTATTACGGATTTTATTTTCACTCTCCGATTTCGTCGCATTTCTTATATATAACGACTTTGGCCGAATTGTATGTATCATCTTCATATATGATTCTTTATAATTGTGTTCATATTATGGACAGAGTTCTCAGATTTGCAAATAATTCATTTGAAAATATGGCAATTAATTTGATTCAAATAAATTGATTTACGCTTTGACAACTTTTTAAATCAAATCAAATCAATTTATTTAATTTTTGTTTGCGTTCATTTTGGGCTCAGAAAATAAACATGTTCAACTCATGAATCGTTAAGTTTTCATTGCCTTAGCTTGTCCAAGTTTTGTTCTCACATCAATACCCACTTAAACTTTTTGCAACGGTATTGACGACGGTGTTCTTACAAATCAGAAATAAAATAAGAATGCGAAGATGCTTTGGTATGTTTTCTGCACGTAAGTCAGTCCGTCATGCATACGAATGTGCGAACACATCACACAGAAATGTGTCTGTATTTAAATGAAATGTTTAATAGGGCGCATTCGTCGATGAGATAATTATATGTTCGGTAAAAATTATCGAAAATATACGATTTATGCAAAGTTAACACTCATATTTATATGAATCTTCTGAACTCATTCTGACATGAATATTCTTTCAAGTATTTTGTCTGTGTGTTAAGATAGGTCCGTTAAGCTCCGAGTATGTAAGCAAGTCAAGTGAAACACTTGAATAAATTTATTGGATGAAAAAAAAAATAATTCACATAAATGAAGAGGAAAAAATCAATGAAGTGCTTACCTTTTTTGTGCTTATTTTATAGAGTTCTTGATAAAATTGCCTTCATATGATTTTCGTTCACATTCAAATTATATATTAATATGCAAATTTTGCAACACACATGCATCGCTTTGATATTCCAGTTCCGTAAATATGCGGATTTTATCGATTTTTTTTACATCGCAGTTTTAATTTCATTTGGGTTTCAAGTCAGAAAACCGAAATGTCCCAATCGATGCTGGTTTCTTATTTTGCTTTTGAAATTAGCGATCCTTTAAAATATTATTATTTTGGGCCAATGTACGCTTATTTTTAGATTTACGATGGCAAATTTTCGAACATTTGTTGGCATTTTTTTTTGCAAAATTTTAGCTTCGACCAAAAAAAATATTTGTTTCATTTCCGGTGGACAGAAATTCGATAAAATATTTTTATAGAAAATAATGTTTTGGTTAAAATCTAAAAATTGAAATAGATATCTTGAAATGTTTTGAAAGTTTGTACTGAATTTATGAATTTTTGGTCACCTTTTTCAAGCACTGGTCGATTTTTTTGGCCATCAATTTTTTTTGTATTTAAGTTAAATAGATTTGAAAAGTCTCTGCAGCTTGTTCCAACCAAAATGAATTATTTTCATCGGTTTTATATTTTTAGTTGGAAAGTACACGTTATAACTTTATTTTAGAACAAAATATACCAATTCTCAATCTTGAGATGGAGATGGAAGCATGATAAAAATATCGAAATTGTCTGGTAGAAAAATTAGTCAAAATTGAAATGCTTTTTAGATAGAATTGATCGTTTGGTAATTTCTTGAAGTAAAATTTCAAAGTTTTTGCACCTATGCTTGCAATTCAAGGTAAGTTGAACAGATCTTTTAAGAAAAGAAAAACCCTAGTAACTTTTGATGAACTCGTAACTTGTACATTCGTTTAGGTTATTGAAAACAGTACGTTCATTCTCGATTGTCCAATGAAAAGGCTTGAATTTTTCTTTCTTTTCTATTTTATGAAGGATGGAATTTATTTGCTGCCGAGACATGTTTTTATAAGCAAGAATGATCAAATACAATGTATTTGCCTTATATGCTCATCAATAGTTAAGAAAATGATAATATATCAAAGCGGTAATTTCCGATAAAGAACGTTTACAGCAGTTGTTTGCATGTTCTAGTGATTAAATTGAACGATTGATCTCATGACATTGAGATGAGATATTTTGGCGAACGACACACATGATTGCCATCACTTCGTTATTCATTCGATTCTGGCCGGAATATACACACAAATGATGGTTTTGTTGGCTGCGATATCTTTTAATGCCCATTTGATGGTAACGCTCACCTTTGGATTAGATCTCAACACCGGCAGCGTTTGCACATATTCATAATTGACGCCATTTCTTAGTGGACATTGGACACCGCTATCCTTGCACGCATCTGCATTCTGTAAGGGGAACGGCATTTCAACACCCATAATGACTCCGTGCACAACAGTCGTCACTTGTTCAATATTGTCGACACCCTCATTCAAAGCGAAATCCAATTCGATCGATGCATTGATTTCAGCACGCAAGCATTTGCTGTTTCATCGCAATTGGACACTTTAAATTTGGTGAACTCGCCCCCTTCCGAGCCGCAATCTTCGAATTCCAAAGCAATAGACGAAGCCAAAAACAGTGCACAAACTGACAACTCATTTTTATATGATAAATCAAAAAATTCAATTGAATCGTCAAAAAGTTGTGCTTAAAATAAAATAATTGGTGAAGTTAAGAGATGTACACTTGATATATGTTTAAAATTGTAAACTCATTTAGTCTATGCTTAAATTCAGCATCTTCAACATCATTGTCATCGGAATTCTCGTAGGTTTCTTAAATAGTTGACGATAACCTAAAATTAAAATTAAAAATTAAATTATTTTGAATCGTTGTAGCAATACATGACTTTCCAAAAAAAATGAATGTCAATAGCAACATTCTCATTGCAAGATGCCATTGTTACCTATTTGGTCCCAATCCACACGTGTTTCGATAACTTTCTGCTTCTCTTGCAATTGGGTTATATTAAACATATGTCTCTGATAGTCCAATGATTGCTGGTGAATTCAGCTGCCACAATCTAAGCGCATCGAAAGTGTGAGCACTTCCACGGGATAATGTCCACGCAGATATGTTAACGTTAGAAATTGAGGATTCATATTCACGAATCCATTTCAAATGCCACGTCATTATCTTGAGGTTCGCTGACTGCTCTTTCCTTATTTAAAGGTAGACTTACTTCGCCGTTTATGCATCGTTTGATGTGGTTGTTCGAAGCAATTCTCGATGGTCATTGTTGAAAAATGTGGGATTTTTTTTGCATCTGACACAAGTTCAACATCAAGTCTCTGACTCGTTAGCAAAACTTTGGCTGTTATTCCATATCGAATTGGAAATCTCGGCTGGCTTTTTCAAAAACAACTTGCAAATTTAATTATATTGAACGAGATCAATTAAACAAATGGCCACCTTTTTACCTTTTTACATCAGATATAACACTGTTTTCCCTGTTCGAATGTTCGACACGCATTGTTATAAATGCGAACTTGTGTGTTTCATTTATTTATTTGAATGTGTCAACTTGAAAACAAATAAAATGAAATGTTACCGCGTGCGTGCGTGAGTGTGCACATGTCAGCGGTAGATTGTCAAAGACAACATTGTATTTGAAAAGCAACCGTTAATGAGTGAATCTCCAATCAATCTCTATTATTTAGTTTATATCCAATTTTATGATAGACTAGAAAACATTCAATTTCAAAAGTAACATGTTGATGATTAGCTGTTCAGTCATATTTGAGCCATACAGTCTGAGCTCAGCAATTCTACTAGAATGGGTTGGTGCACAACCAACTTCAGAGTGTTTGAATTGTCAAACCAACATTTAAATATATCCAAACGTCCAAAAATTCCATTGTAAAGTTATTTGGTGCATTTTCGAGTGCAATTTCATAATAATCAAATTTACACATCATAATTCATAATGGCTCCAAGCAAATTTCTTACATTAAAATCCCACAATGCAAATAAATCAAAAGAAAATTCATTTTTATATCGTTTAAGTGATTTTAGTTCAACAATAAATAAAAGGAAGTCGATGCGACTGTCGGCGTTGTCAAATTTGAAAAACATTGTAAGTTGTGTATGAATTTTGCATTTTTATGACAACAGAAGCGATAAATATCTGAGATAAATTCTTCAAAAATTGTTTGCTCTGTTTGCAAGTCTTTTGGCATATTCTTCGGAACCGTCCCACTATAGTGCACAGAGAATGGTTCATTGGAGTAGAGCCATGTGTAAGGATTTGTTAAATCGTATCAAATATTTTTTGAGCAACGAAATCTGAGCAATGTATGCAAAAGATCTTGAGTATGATGATGATGAGTATTGAATGATTTGAGTAAAGAATGATTTTTAATTAGAATTAATTTGTTTATCAAATTAAACAAGAGCTGATTGATATGGATTGGCATTTGACAGCAGAAGAATAATTTAAAATGCCATCGGTCTGCTTTAATCCAATCCAAGTCCAATATGAAATGAAATAATTGCTTAAACAAACGGTAAATCGTGGCAAAACGCGAACAAAACGACGAATAAAAAGATAGCAAGTACACTTAGAGAGTACATCATTAAAACTGGTATGATGCGAACGACGATACAGCCTGATACATGCCATGTAATGTGTGCGCGAACTTTAGTCACAGTTAATCTTTCATGTGGTGGAAGTACAAGTACATACATTTATTGTTTTTTTTACAAATCCTAAAAATAACCATATTATCAGTTAAAACAGTTGAACAAAACACTTTTTGGCGGAGAAAACTTGGGCGAAATTTAAAGCAAGTTCATAGTAAATATCTATGGATAAGAAGCACAAGAGAGGGAAAATGATGGGAAAAATTGGTTGACCGAAAGATTCGTATGCGTGTGCCATAGAAAACACGCGTTTATCAAAATAAGCGGCATTAGCGCGACCACGAAAGAAAATTGGCATCGCAGTTTCATGGACAGGCTAGAGATTAAGGCGTGCGCTTGGCATGTGTTCAGTATTTGATTTGATCTTCAGGTGATATGTATCAAGTGCTCAGAGCTCTTGATTGCACAGAGCATATTTTGTGTTGTTTATGTGAAGTTGCGTATCCTTAAATCCGCTCAGTTTTTTCTGTACATGATAAATTGTTGGTCTGTTGTGTATGTGTGTATTTCAATGTTATTTCTTATCTTTCTGTGAGATAAATTTGAATTCTCCAGGAAATAAGGCACTTTGTGAAAAAAATACTAAAACGGCCAAAACAATAGTTTTGATATTTCATTAAAATTCCGTTTGGTACATCGATTTTGTGGTCCCATGTAATTGTCCCATCCATTTTCTATTCATTTGTTCTTTGTTACTTGTGGCTTGATCTGAAAGAAATATGACTCGAATTTGCTTTGCTTCCGAAGTCCTCTTTTGCCATAACTCGAGGATTTCAAGAATATCTTATGTGAATCTATCTTAAGAATATCTCTTACAAAGTGATTCGCAAGCACATGATCAAAGATTTTCAGTCGAATGTATTCAAAAAAAACTCCCAGAACAACAACATTCTGAACATGTTTGTCATCATATTTTCAAAAAAAAAAAAAAATATCCCAGTGCCAGCCAAATAATGCGAAATGTGTCATTCATTAATTGACCCCGCGAGTTCAGTTTAAATTCATGGTGTTAATAATGTGGTGCAATCAAAATGAAAGTCACTTAATTTAAGCATAAAATACAGTAAAAATATGGTTTGATCTATGAATCAATTTTCATGCGATCAAAGATGTAACACGCGAAGTTCAGTCGGTTCAGAGGAATTTGTGCAATCCATTACATATTTAATAGAATCTTGTGAATGAAAATATACTATTGCGCTCGCAATCGAAATCAAGAGAAAAAATGTGTTGCATTTCAGTCGATTTCATTACTGTTTGCAATGTTTCTTGCACTTTGGTGTGAAATGAATTATTGCAAATTTTGGAAAGTCCATTTAAATCAGGTGAACACACAAAATAGTCCGTGTACCTGGATAAATTTTCAATGATCCAGAATATCGAGAACTCTAATCACTAATATGTACACTTAACATAACGGATCTCTCTGTGCCGATAATATACACAAGTTTGTGTGGTGTTGCAAAAATCAGGTGTACAACATTTTATATGATCTGTTATATCAAAGTGTGTTTTTTTTTCTTCTTCTTCCACATTTTCCGCCATGTAATTTACCTAGAATTTCAAAACTAGTTTATAGATTAAATGGACTTATTCTCTCGCTTGGATTCATGTGAAGCTCAGCGCTGAACGCTGAGCGCTCTATATCAATCTGGAGCAAAGTGATTCGAGTTCATGAAAAATGTAGATTGAAATTCAGGTTCAGAGTGAGCATGACGAAGAGAGAGGAATATATGGCGTTTGACAGTTGCCTTTAATTTGTAGCTGATTGCACATTTTCCGTTAAAAAAACATTCAATGTTGCAAACACTAAAATGAGATCACACACTGTACAATAAATAAAATATATATAGTTTATTGTGCCAAATTCTTTGCACCCATTCTGCATCGCTTCCATATTCATTTGAAGATGTTGACATTGTAGCAAAGTTTGACCTCCAAAGTTTGATTTGATAAGCAGTTGCATTCTAAACACGCACTTTATGTTGACTTCACATCGGTGCGTATTGATTTGAATTGATAAGAAAGGTGTTAATGTTTTTTTACTTTGCAAGATTATATTGTCAAGTTAAAATTGTATTTTTCCTATTCAAAGACCTTCGATTCAAAGAGAGAAAATGCCTTAGTTTGCATGGCTACTACAATGGGATTGGAATTATTAACACGTCTTTGAATAATATGAATCGAAACAATACAAAAGGCCACATGAATAGTATTAACGATTACATCAAAATCAAACATTCTTTGTATACAGTTTAATGAAAAGTCCACATTTATTGAAAGAAACGAAAAAGATGAAAAATGGCCACATAAAATAATACACGGTGAAGATTAATCAAATTCGGAACTGTTCGGATGAAAGTTGCAAGATTTGGTCTAAACAAACTAAAGTTTTTATATAAAAGTAAAGTTTTGTGGATGAACAACGAACACAAAAAATGACTACAACAATATCGATCGGTTCAAATTGTTGTTCAGCTGAACCAACAAAGCCATTAAGTCGAGTTGAACGTACAAAAAGTTTCCTGAAGGCGAGTCTTATCAAACGGTGGAAGAGTTCGAAGGAGCTGTTCTCCACTTTGACTGGTAGCGATAACAACAATATAAAATCATCACGAAAACCAATCGAAAGCAAACGGCAACAACAAAATGGAAAATTCATCAACGAAAAAGTCCTCGACAATTTGGATGAATTTGAGCGAAAATTTTTATTGTCAGCCGGTCAGTCGCTTGTACGGGAGCTGCGTAAAAATTTCGAAAAGCCACAATATTCACAGACACCCAACGATTCAAATAACTGCAAAGGAATTGTGATTAAGGTGAACGGTAGTCCAACGAAAACAAAACAATTAAATTTATTAGAAGAAAAACCAAAAAAATTTGCCAATGCAAGTGTACAAACTATCCCAAATTATGAAGATAAAAACTACTATGAGACAGAGACAGAGACAAAGACAATCGCTAGTAATCCAAAGCAAAAAAAGCAACAACCACTTGTGATGAGGCATTCGTCATTTTACAATACATATCGAAATGAATATTGTGCATGGCAAAACAATCATCATGCATCGAATCTATCGCTGATTTCGTACGGTAATCCGAGCAATAGCGAGAAATGCCTCGAAAAAACCATCAACAAGTACAAAAATTCGATCAAATCATCATCAGCTGTGGATTTATCGTCCATTTCAGCGGTGGTATTGAACACAGCCGTGCCAACGATCGGTCAATCGATTGAACAATCGTCATCGATGCTCAAGCGACATTACAGCAGCATAGTCAACATAAGCCATTCGAATTCCGTTCAAAATTTAACGGATTCACCAATCATTGACTATAGCTATGGCTCGATCAATGATGATGACTTAACAACACCAACGTATGCCGTGATTGATAAACCAATACAAAAAAATAACAAACTTAAACCAACACATTCAATAAAAAGCCTAAGCACCGTCTCGTCTGTGGTGCGTGATGGCATCAACAATACCAACAATACCAACAACGCAAACATTCGTTTTCGTAACGGTGACTATGACACAAAGTCATTGATCGGGACAAGTACGGTGTCCGTTTTGTGCGACAGTACGCAAAATGATGATTATGATGTTACTAAACGCCATTTCAATGGATTTGTCTCCAAAACCAATCTTTTCGGATCAAATATCATGTTGACCGATACGGACACGAACACAAACAACAATAATAGCAACAATAACAATAATTATCCGTATCATGCGTCGTTAAATTGCCATAATAATAAAAATATGAATAATAAAAACATATTCGAAACGACTACAAGCCACAATAGCCACGATGGGAACAATAACAGCACAACCACCACAAAGATTCGGAAGTGCTACAGCATCAATCAAATTGATTTGAACTTATTAAAAAACGAACTGAATGAATACATCGATCGAGAGCTACGCACCACGAACTTTGGCCAAAACACTCTGGCACAACGACGAAGTCAATTTGAAAGCGACTATAAAAAGGTAAAAACAAAAAAAACGATTCATTTGTAGTACTCTCCCATTTGGACAAATCCAAAATTTTAATCCAAATCAAGATCTTCCGATATGAAAATCTGAACTGCATCTCTTATTTTATTATTGGTATCCCATTTGAAAACAAATAGATAAAATGATTAATTTTATAACTAGAAATGAATAACCGTAAATGCAGTTTCGACCGGTTTGTTCATAGCAAAAAATGCCGAGCGTCGTGCATGGTGTAAACTTGTTTCGAATTCATTTTAAGTGCACTGCCACCAAACATAGGAACCGTATTGTCTGCACTTATGCAGTGTATAGTGTATGCACAATTGATTGAGTGAGGACGAACACAGCAAATGATATTCAATTTTTTTTTTTAAGTGAGACACGCAGATTATGCACCATTGCTCACTCAAAATCATATTTGAATATTATGTGAATACAATTCGGACCATTGCCTATGGCAAAAATGATGATCAGAGTTGATCAAAAATAAATAATAATAGAAAGGCATCCTGTCAAAAATTTTCTAGATGTGGCATATGTTCAGAAAGTATGCATGCACTGTTATCCACTTCGGTAATAGCAGACCTGTCGTGCCAAAATAAACCACATTGGAATCGTTGCGAATGCATTCAATCGAAAGCAATTCATCTGCTTGCTATTTGAAATGAGTCAAGAAAAGAAGAAAGAAGGGAAAAAAGAAAGTAATTTTTGATATATTTGGTTGGCTTGGTCACTGGAAAATGAGAAATTGTCACCAGACTAATTTATGTGCATGACGCATACACATTAGCTAGATTACAATTTGTACTTGCAAATAACAATTCAAGTGCACACGAATGAGATCTAAAAAGAAAAGAGAAAAGAGCAGCAACAGCAGCACTACCACCACTATCACAAACAAAAACAACACCATCCAGTGACTCGTTTGTATATCAACAAAAATGTGTTTTGTTTTTGTTTCGGCGTCATATGTGTGAATGTGAAATATTTTTACTACTATGAACCGTCGCAAGCCTGATTGATAGTGTGCGCAGTGTGGTCATCGGTGTGAACGAACGGCGCATCGATGTGTTAGTAAGCATGAGTAAGAAAGTACGAATATGGTTCCTTTTTCCCAATGCCTCCGCCTTTGATGTGATTCGACTAAATTAAATCAAATTTTAAATATTTCCGTCGCATCTCACATTGAAATTGTTAGTTGTGACCATATTTGCGAATGCTTTTTCTTATTCGGCTGTATGGCAACTTTCATTTGCTCCTATGTGACTACTGCATGAAACGTTTTAACTGCAGTTCTCTATCGTAAATACATTGTCCGATGAGAATGCATTCATTTCTTTGTTTGTTTGGGCCTTTGCTATCTGTGCACGGTCGTTTCTATATGCGCCGTCGTATTGGCAACGATACAGCCGATTATTGTTTGAGTGTGTGCGTCAGTGTATGAGTGTATGTGTGCGAGAATTGAGTTGCTAATGTGTGCGCAATGCGAGAGCCTAATGCCTGTTGTGCCCTTACTGTTTGTGTAATTGCTGATGAGCAGCAGTTGTAGTATTTGGGACGTGTACTATTCAGAATTGATTCAAAATAAAAAAAAATTGTGTGTTTTCTTTCATTTCTGACGTAAGATGAATTCAAAATAATCTGAGTGTTTTTTTGTTCGACTATTTTCAAATGCACACACTCTGTCGTTTGTGATAGAGTGGTGTCTGTTTATTGGGCTGTGATGCTTACAAACAGACCACGTTTTTTTTTCATCGCACACAAAAAAAACATTATGATCTGAATTCCTTTTTCGGTTTGCAACTTGTGTTCATTGTTTTTGATTATATTTATCATAACAACTAGATTCGATCACGATCATTTCATTGGGAAAAAAGAGAAAAACAATTGCTGGGGAAACAAAGCAGTTTCATTTTTTTTTATTGTTTGTTGAAAGAGTGATACATTTGAAGCCTTGTGATTAAAACAAAAACATCGGAAAAACTAACTCATATGTAACTCATTGTGATTGGATATTTCGAACAATTGGGCTAAATTGTTTTTATAACCGGTTCAAAATCAAATCAATGTGTTCGAAGATCAATAGAAAAAAGTGTATTGCATAGACTAAGCATGAAACAGAAAATCAAATGACAATATAAAATGTGACGGAACCACATTTCTAATATTGTTTCACATATTTGCATATGTTAAAACAAAATTTCATTTTGTGCCCATTCATTTCGCGTCAACATGCAATATTATGTATCTGTGTACTAGTATACAAAAGTGATTCGTAGCTTCCTCTTTCTTCATGTGAACTAAAAGTGTCGCATTTGATTTGTTTGCCGTATCCAGACGTTTTTCACGCGATTTCTGCTTCATCCGTTGTGAATTGTCTGTTGTTGATTGAAAATGATGTCACTTTGTACAGTGCGTGCAAACACATACTTTTAAATAGAATGTACGAATACGAATAGTGCTCAATTGCCAACGTTGTGAGCTCAAAATATTATTTAAATGAACAATATTTGGATATCGAATCAAACAAGAAATACATAACCATAAGCAAAGCGCACAGATACAACGAATAAGAAGAAGAAGAAGAAGAGGAGGAGGAGAAAAGAAAACAGAATAAGAGAAAAAAAAAACTAAATATTCAAATTTTGTCGTTCGGTGTGGCAAACATTCGACGAGAGAACTTTTTTTTTTGGCTCTTCAACAAGGCTTTGATATTGAGACGACGATTCCATTTACACATCGAATTGCCTAATTTAGTTTATTGCGAAAGCCAAAAGCGCTAAATACGAAATATTATTAGATCACTTGACAGTTTCACCAAACGTTCAACATAAATAACACTACGTGCTTGACAAAAAGTGTTTATTAAATTTATGCAACTGTTATTGACCAACCGAATGACAGAAAAAAAATGATTGTTCTAGCGCAATTAAGTGTCCAATGCTGAATTTATTACAACAATCAGCGTGATCTCAAACGTAAATATATACGAGTCAGTTTATCGTAAAGTGCATTTGAACTAACCACAGCAGTTGTGTAGCAGCATATTGAAGAGGAGACGAAAAGAAAAATATGGATTCGTGCTTCCCACCACTGGCCAATCTATCATTACGCGGCAGCTCGAGAAGTAGCAGCAACAAACCGAACAAGAATCGTCACAGTACCGACGGTTCAGCACATAATAATTCTCAATTATTTTATCGAAACAACGAAAATATTCGCAACCATACCATGCCAAAGCTAGAAGTTTTACAAGACTTAGATTTGTATTATATTCGCCAAATTGCATCTAGTCTAAAGGTAACTGTTATACATTGTTGAAATAACGTCGTGTGAGTGCGTGCGTTTGTTTGTCTGACTGTGCGTGTGTGCTTGTTTATTCGATTGTGTGTCAAGTTTGAGATTGTCGTCATGCAGCTTCCTGTGTTCTCAAAGGATGTGAAACAGGATGTTAGGGGATCTTTAAAAGACCATACATGATGTATCTCTTTCAATAGACAGCTGTTCATTTGTGCCCATATTCAAAGTATTATCTATATGTATTTTCTTCGGTGCAAAACATACAAATAAAATATACAAGCAATATCAAATACAATGTGTTGTAGCACGTACAAATACGAGATATCTTGTGATATATAAAACAACAGAGTCTTTCAATGAACAATTTAATATGAATATCAGCAAACAATCCATGTGTAAACATCTAGTTTTTCTTCGTACTAAAGTGATTCATTCTTCATACACAGGAATTGGATCTAGAACAAAAGATCGACTTGGAAATTAAAATGCGCGAAGGGTCTGCAAAGCTTCTGGCAGCATGCAACAATCCAAAGGCAATCGGATGCACGGGTAATTTAACATCGGCACAGAATACACAAATTTTGGAAGCTGCCAAAAATTTGTTGACATCAAATGAACGTATGACAGCTTATATGGCCGAATTGCAACGCCGTAAACGCGATCGTTGCGAACCCATCGGCAAGTTATCCGGAAATAAACAAAAAATGACGGCAAAGGTTTCGTTGAGCGAGATTCGTATGCCGTTAATGTGGCGCGATACTGACCATTTTAAAAATAAAGGCGATCATCGCAGGTTTGTGATTTACCATATCAAACAGTCAATTCAGAAATAAGATACAGGAGAAACAGCTGCAGCAAACAGCAAATTAAACAAGACACTTATCATAAGACCTTGTAACACATTTTTCTTTTCTTTTTTCTTTCTCAAACGCTGCAGATTTGCCGTGTTTTGTTTGGTTCGTATTGGGACAGATATCTTCGACACATCCCTTTTATGCCCAGTCGATCGAAGCCTTACCGATATTAGTTTTAATGATGCAATTCTATTGTAAGTAAATGACAGAAATCATAGGTGGCTTCTAGAACCTGTGCTAATTGTTCATTTATCCCAAAAAATTTTTTAGTTCAAATGTGGAGCCGAATTTCGAATTAAAGCTTGAAGTGTATGCGGTTATGATGGAAACTGATCTAACGATTGCGTCAACGCCACGCAAAATCAAGAACACTATTCATAGTTCTATTAGTCGAACTGTCGGCAAACGACTCGCATCAACTCTAAAGGATGAACTCAATAATGCTAAAATGTGAGTGTGCCTGGAATTAAAATTACTTATATTTTGAAGTTGAATCCTTTTTTTAAAAAAACGTTCTAACCCTTTATTTCATAGAGGTCCAAAGTTTGAGCTCATTGCAAAGGCTACTTTAACCCTTGCCGAAGCATCAGATCTACCACATACCCATGATTTGACCCTGACAACCACTTGCTCATCAAATAATATGAACAACAATCAGTTCAATACAAAGCTGCCTCTCTTCGGTCATTTCTGCTGTCGGCTAGCTATTCAACCAGATTTCATGAAAACCAACTATTGCACCGGTAATTTACAAGTGCTATCACCAAATGAAAATCAATTCAGTGAAATTTATGCACGCCTACAAGCATTCAAATTGACATATTGGGATAATTTGGAAGCATTTGAGAATAATACCGAACCAAAACATAGCATTGAAGTGACTCGCGATTCGAAGGCAAAACGTCGAGGTGATTTGGAAGTGGTTGTGTGCAACATGGAGGAAGGAGTTATAAAAAAGTATGTGTTCAGAGCAGCTGAATCGATTGAAGCGTCCAATTGGGAAATTGCACTCAAACGCGCTATCAGAGAACATCTATTATGGCAGCATGTCACAGTCGGTACGCCAATGCAGCTAAGTACGCCTGGAACAGAGAGAAACTATTTTTCACGCTCAGGACGACATGGATCGCTATACGATCAAGTACCAATTATGCGTAAGTTCAAAATTGAATAAAAACCAGAACTTTATTCAATTTCATCAAAAATTTTATTCTTTATTTTTCTCAATAGATTCAAAGCAATCAAGTTCACTCTATTCAGACATTAATGGGGATGATGGCGAAACCTCAGAAAAGTCCAGAAATTTTCGCAGTCGTGCCAATTCATCAAGCAGCATTAATACAGCCATTAGTGGTAGCAGTGTGTCATCGATGATAAGCATTTCTAGTTCTAGACGTAGTCATTGGCCATTCGGAAAATGAAATGGAATTTATAATACAGTATATAGGACACCATTCGAGACAGATATTTTCAGAACTATTGAGAAATTTAACGGTTTTTTCCTTTTCAAAACAAATTGTTATAAACACTTGATCACGCCATTAGATTGGATCATGCCATTAGATTAGGCCGTAGACTGAATCTCGAACAAAATAAGTTAAACAATATTTATTGCAAACACCTTCAATTGTGCCACTGACAAAGCAATGATGAGCATAATTGTTATATGTCAAAATCATAATAAAAACAATTCCAGTGTAGTTTTTGTCCTTTTGATACAGTTTATTGATTGTAAGAGAAATGTATTCCATTCATCCTTTTGTTCATTTCCTTTGTTCGCGTTGAACTTTAGTTTCACAATAATTACTTGAAAATGAAAACCGAAATAAAATAAAAATGTTTCCTTCTTAACATTTTCTTATTTAAACTTGTTCGTTTTTAAATTATAACTGCACAGAGAGGATTATGCGCTTCTCAATGCAGCTACTTCGGACCACGGAAACTAACGCTACATTGATATTTTATTAGCTGGCCCTGGACTGAACATTTTTCATTGTATTGTTTGACTTGGTTTGTTTCCCACTTTCAAAAAGTTATTGTTAATATCCACGAACACCTCTATGAATATTATTAATGGCGGCCCTTCCCGCAAATTGATCAAGTTAGAGGTGTCAACGGACAAATGGACGGACAGCCTACTTTTTTACACAAGTGACCAAAATTATGTTTAAATGTACGAATAATGTGGGAAGCTATATACCAAATTGTAGGTTTTTAGGTCCTCTTTCCATCGATATATAAATATTACAGTTATTTTGAAGATTTGGTGCCAATTTTGAGGAGAAAAAGCTGGATAGGCAGATTTTTCAAACGGACGGACGGACAAATTTTGGTTTTGTCCGTCCAAAAAATTTCGTTAGGAAAATTTCAAAATAACTGAAACATTTATATATCGATGGAAAGAGGAACCTACAATTTGGTATATAGTTTGCCATATTGGCCACTTGTGTAAAAAAAGTAGGCTGTTTGTCCGTTGACACCTTTAGATCAAGTGCTGCTAGTTCTCGGCCACGAAAATGTGGTGGTGAAGCTGAATGAACACATACTGGCCGCACCAGTCTTTTTTAAAATTTCATCCCGTTTCAGTAAAGGGTAAGATTTATTTTATTAAAACTCTTTGAATATAAAAAGTTGAAGGCTAAACAATTGTCCATGGCGTAAAAATATTTTTTGTTGTGATAAAATTCTAATTACAGTTCATTCAATATTAACTTTGATGCGACTATAAGCATTCGATAGCACCCCTCTTAAGTTCCAAGTATTTTCGAATGATTCCGGTTGAACATTGTAATTCGAATCAACGGCTTTGGACCAGACTTCAACATGTTTCGTTCCTTTTGGCACAGGGATCTCAGCCGTCCACACTATAGTTAAAGAGAAATCATGGTAATAATGTGCAAAAATAATTTGTAAAAGAAAAAAGGAAATATAACTCACATGCCCACGCCCAGTTCCGCCCATTCAAATTTGATTGATCTCCGTTTGCATCTGTGTCGTGGATCAGTTTCGCCACATGCCAGCTTTTACCACCATCTGCGGTTAAATCCACTCGTACGATTTTGTTGCCACCACCTGACCAAGCATACCTAAACCATAAGATAGACATTATATTCAAATGCAAATACAGTATATAATATATATCACATTCATACCCCTTTACATTGATGCATCCATTTTTATTGATCGATACACTTGTGTTACTTTCTGGATTACAAATTGCAGAAGTAACCGGCATGTTCTGGATGGCGGGTGATTTGGAGAAATCAACTGTGTCCCAATCGGTTGAAGGACTAAAACCCTTGTAGTCATTTTGCTAAAATTGGACAGAAACAATACGATAAATTGCCGTTTGAAATATTCGACTTCTATTCATTTTTTGCTTTTAAAAGTAACTAACCTGCCAGTGCGAATCAGATTCAACATTTGATATTGTAATTCTCCCCAGCCATTTCACATTTCTAGCGCCCACGATTCCCGGACAAATGACTCGTACGGGGAAGCCGTGATCTCTTGGTAATGGCTCGCCATTCATTTCGTATGCCAAAATTACATCGCCGCGTTCATCCATGGCCTTCGATAGAGGAATAGAGGCTGCATAGTGCGTCGAAGTTGGATCCATATCGAAACCTTCAAACTTGATGAAATAAAAATAAGTTTTTTTTCGACAAGTAGATAGATTTGGGTTCTTACATGAACATGACGCTTTTCGTCGCTTTCTATTCCCATTTCTTTAAGAATATCACATAGTCGTGCTCCTGACCATTGGGCATTTCCCACTGCAGCGGGCCCCCATGACAAACCTTTAACGGGTTTGACATTTGTCATTTCTGATCGCCTATTTCCACCGCACATGATAGCCGCTGTTACATGATGTTTCGGCAAAGACTGAATATCTTTCAATGTCATTGTTTTGACTTTATCAGTGTCCTCGACTCCTATCTCCAGCTCATAGCTATCTGCGTCAATTTCAGGAACGGGCAAATGATTTCGCACATAGAAAAAATCGCTGAAATAATATTCATTTTAGATGTTGCTTCACATTTCAATGCCATTTTTTGCGACTTACTTTGGTGTAATGAAATGTTCAACGAGCAACGTTGGCGGTGGTTCCGCGTTAAATGGTTTCAGTGATGCTGGCTTCAATAAGGGATGTCGTTTTGGCTCGTTCGACCACGGATCGGATAGATCTTTAGTACCGAAATCATCTTCTGCTTTTAAATTACCAATGCGAAACGTTTCCAGCAAATTCAATATCTCAGGTGTGTTGTGTTGCTGATAAATGTGCCAGAATGGACTTGAAAATAAAAAAATGATTTGCAAAATTGAATTTTCTCCATAATTCCAATGAATACAGCTGATGCCAGTACCGAATATGATCACATCAATTACTTACTCAATTGAGCTGCCAGCGCCAATCATAATTTTATCGCTGCCTGGATGCTGAGGCACGAATTTGGTGATATCATAGACACCAATGCCGTAGGTCACCCAAATCCCTTTTTCACTACAAAGCAAACCGACAATATAAAAGAAAAACCAAGAATGAAGCGTTTGATCAAGGATAATTTACCTTGATGCATGTGTGCCAACTTCAGCCATTGAATAAGTTGGTAAGTCTTTCCGAACCGATTTATGGTATTGTGGCAGTTCTGCATTTTCAATGGCTTTCAATGCTAAGACCGTCTCTTTGTCCTTATCTATGATAATAAAAAATTCGATTTTTTTGAGCCACTTCAAACTCATTCCAAAGTATTGTCAAATAACATACATAAATAAAATGCAATAGCGCCACCGATTCCACAAGCTAATACACAAATTGTTGAACTGAATTCGTCGCGTCTCTTGAAGGCATCATTGGAAAAGGTCAAATTTGTTGAATTTCGTACGCTGTTATTTGAGAATTTTCGATGAGATTGCAATTTCGATGGAATATCACTTGTCTGAATGGTCAAAATCGGTCGATAGAATAGAACTTGACACCTTAGATTGGATTGCAATTCAAAATTAGCAAAAAATATTAGTCGAAATTGTCAAATGAATTACCGATTTTTATTTTTCAAAAGCGCTCGACACAGTGTTGACATTTTGGGAACAGAGTTTTTTCATTGATTGTCACTTGTTGTTGTTGATCAACACTCTGATATTGTCCACAACACGCATTTTTGTTATCAAGTTGACATAGGAACAGCTCCTTCATAAGCATCACAGGCAAAACCTATCAAAGACAGTTTCGAAAGTGAGCTTCTTTACACCGCTTTAAACATAGTGATCCAATTGTAACAATTTCAAACTGATCCAATGACCAACAAAACCTTTCAAATTCATTTCAACACTTGCAACTTTAAAATGTTTTTTTTTTTAATGAATTTGAGTTTTTTTCTAAACAATGACGCCAAATTGAAAAAAAAAAACATAAAAAACGAATATTCCTCAAAAAATCGTATTTATTTATTTGAAAATTCAAGACTTGCATTGCATACTGAATGACAACTTAGAGCAAGTTGAGAAGAAACAGTCTACCAGCCGTTTGATCTTAGCTTAATATCATTAAAACTTAAAATCTTTGTTGAAAATTCGATTGAGATTGTTGCTGTTGATTGCCATACATTTGAGGATGAGGCTGAATGTAAACAAGAAAGAAAAGAATTAGAAACGGAAAAATCGTTGGTATATTTGAGTAGTTTAGCATTTACCTGTTGTGGATGTTGTTGGTGTTGCATTCGCATTCTTTTGGCCGGATTGTCATGATGTGTGTTCATCATTTGTTGTGGATGATGGTGAGGAACATGTTGCTAAAAGAAAAAATCAAATATAATTAAGTGAACGAATAGCCAACGATGTATGTAACAAAGTTGAAGGCATACCATTTGATGTTGAACCAGCTGGTTTGGTTGATGTGACCCATGAGTTTGGTGTTGGTGTTGCTGATGCTGTTGCTGTTGTTGTATCTGCTGTTGTATTTGCTGTTGAATCATATGCTGTTGCTGCTGCTGTTGTTGCTGTTGTTGTTGCTGCTGCTACAGTTGGAAATAAACGAGTTAACATTGACTTAAACCATGGATAGGATAAAAGTAATTACCGTTGTTTGTTGTGGTTGTTGAACATTTGTTTGTTGTTGAACAGCTGCTTGATTGTGCTGTTGCTGGTGTGTCTGATGGTTTTGTTGGTTTTGTCTCTTATCCGACTTATTGTCCTCTTGGTCATCTTCAGTCAAAAACTCTCGTTTCGGATATGGAATGGCATAGCCAGCAAACACATCGGACGTTGGGAGTGGGTCCTCCGTAAAGTAAGGGTCTTGCATTGCCTGTTCCGATGTGATGCGCTTGTTGGGATCCATTAGCAAGAGTCTCTGCAGCAGGTGGAATGATTTACTGTCCGGCTTAATCTTATGTCTTTCCATGTATTTAACCAAAGAACACTGCGCATAGCTTTGTATTTTAGAGAGAAAAATGAAAATTATCGTCAGTAATTATTTGTCAAAGGATTATTTTCTATAGCCTAGCGAAAATAGTTGAGAAAATATTGCATTACTTGTTACGCTTGAAGTCTTTTGTCAGAGTATGATGCTCAGGCATTTTACGAATATCTTCCCAGTCTTTGTCTTGTGGAAAACCCATGACATTGAAAATTCGGTCAAGCTGATCATGATGGTACGGATTGCTTGTTTTAATATCTTCTTGACGACAGTGGAAAATCGGTTCGGATGTTAGAAGCTCAGCAAAAATACACCCAATGGCCCATATGTCAATGGCTTTTGTGTAGTGACGTGCTCCCAATAACAGTTCGGGTGCCCGGTACCAAAATGTAACTACAACTGGATCCAAATCTGCCAATGGTTTCAGCGGAGCGTTAAATAAACGCGCAAACCCCATATCGGCAATTTTCACTCGTCCTCTTTCAGCACCCTCACCCATCACAAGAATATTCGCCGGTTTCTGTGTAAACAGCAAAATCAATCATTCCCGAAGTTCGAGAACAAAGCAGCAAATTGTGAGTAGTCGTACTTACCAAATCTCTGTGGAGTACCCAATTGCTGTGAAGATAATGAATTCCATCCAGAATCTGGAATAATAAACTCTTAACCATTGCTTTTGGAACCATAACCGGTTTCTTGTTTGCCTTCGCTGCTCGATGAAATTTTATTATGTGCCAAAGATCATGTTCGGCATAGTCAAATAGTAACCACACTTTTCGGTCGGTGTGCGATAGAAATACGCGTATTAAGTTAATCACATTCGGATGTTTAAGTTCACGTAGCAGCTAAACGTTCCGAAAAACAAGCACAAAAAAAAACTTAGAATTTATGATATCACAACGAAGCCAAGATTTGTATTTCTTACCGCGATTTCACGGCATGCTGACATCGAAAGCCCAGTCCCTTCAATTTGTTTCAATGCATAGTCTTTTTTGTCATTTTCTTCTTTTCTGTGCGCTTTGTACACATGTCCATATGTGCCACGACCAACTTTACAGCCTTCGAACTCAAATAGATCCTCTACTTTGGTCCGTTCGACCTGAGTCCGCATCTTGAAATCGTAATCCATCATTATAGGTGTCATTTTCACTAGTTTTCTCACGTTTTAACAAGACTATACCTATATTAAATAGACAATTTAACGTTTTATATTCGGTGAAATCAATATTTTGATATCAAATCAGTGGACATGTTGTCTGGTTTTACGACGTTTGTGTTTAAATTGATTCAAAATGCCCAAATACTTTACCAACAACTGGGAAAAATATATCCTCATAATTTGGTACAAAGAATACAAATGAGAGCTACATCAACACAAACTGACAGCTAATGCTAATGACCGAATTTGTTTGACGTTTCATTGGGAGGCAAGCAATATGTCGGTAATGAAGTCTGAACCGATTCCAAAACGTACCACATATAAAATATTACAAACAACGTTTACTATGGCAAAACAGAGAGCAAAATTCAAATAATAATTTAATTTTGATGTAAAATCAAAAATGAATATTATAAGAGATTTATACATCATCCTCATTCGAATGTTTAAATTTCTATTTTTATTTTACACCTTCTATCATTACAACCCAAGCAATTTGTGTGTTACAATTTTTTCTTCTTCAAATAACTATATCAGAACTATATTTCACATTTAAGACATATTAAACAATACTTTTAAATTTTTCTCATTTGAATATTTCTTTTATTCGTGGTTTAATCCTTTGCAATGAAACAAATATATAGTTAAATTTAAATTGTCCTCTGTTTGGTGCTATTGTAGTCATTTAAATTGAGGTGAGGAGTAACGTAAAAAAATATTCTTTTGATTCTCAGATTTCTCTCAGATTAGTTGATGATAAAATCAAATGTTGAATAAATAAATAAGATTGTCGTTTAACGACTAAAATTTGATTGGATAAATTTTTTTTTTCTTTTCTGACTAATTGTATCATAAATTGTGTGTGTTATTATTCTTATGATTTTTTTTAAATCGATAATTTGTATATTTATTACGTAGAAGTGGAAAACACGAAATAGAGAAAAAAAAACGGTGGTTTACGTTCATTGTTATGGATTTCAAAGTAAAAAAGGCCATGACGAGTTCACATTCTTAACTTGATACGTATGGTTGAGATTGGGTGTAGACTATGCTCCATTGACTGTGTTAGGAAAGATGAAATTATGTTTGTTTCAAAGGGAAAATAATTTTTGGCGGATTGTTGTGATTTCTTGCGTTGGCAGGGTGACTGACAGAGCTTCTGAAGCCCGAGAGGTCAAACCACCAGGATAAAATAAGCTCTGATAAGAAACAACCGTTACTATAAACTTTTTTATGTTCAATTTGCACGCAACTAATAAAATATTTTAGATAACTATTTGCAGCAAAGCTATAGAAGACCATAATTCGAACAACTTTTCCCAAGACGCTAAACCATTATCTCTTGTCAGTTCCGCAAAAACCGCCAAAAACCTCAACAACTCAAGGCATATCAAACAACATACTCTCCTTTAGCGCAAACAAAATCATCAAAAACATACTTCAACTTATGCTCTTCTCTCAATTCAACGCATAGAAATTATCGACAATGATACAAAATCATATCATTGTTTGTTTGTTTATTTATTTTGATTTATTACAAAGAAAACTGTTCTGATTAGAACCATAGATTTACAAGACATTCGCTTATTTAGAACGATTGTTCTGTTGTTTCCTTTAATTCCAATAGGCATTTCCCCATTGCTTCTATTTGTATGTCTCTATTCATATTTTGTATTATAGATAGGTCGTAGATGGAGGTGCGTCGTAAACACAATAAAAGTTACAAAGTCCATGTGCTCAACACACCTAAGATTGTGATATGCTTATACTATAGAGGCTTTGTTTCCATTTAAATATAACAAACGAGCAGCGACTCATTTAAAACGAACACATTTTGTTTTGTCAAATCGATCCGAGTACTGAAAAGCTGGTTTTTCATGTTATTGTGGTGGTCAGTGCCACCGTTCACCAATATGGTGTATGTAAAAATCGAGGAAATGAAAAATGCATAAAATTGTTGAGCTTCGAATAACAGTCATTCACTCTAACTAACACTTTTAGCTATTTTTAAATGATTAATCATATCATGACCTCGAATTGATTCTAATTGAATGTTCCAAGAATCGAATAAAAATAAGATTTTCTTAGCAGTTATAATCGAATCAAAATAACCCATTATGCAGGTGTTCACACTCCGTACAATTGGGTACCATTCGATTTGTTTGTATATTTTTATCATCCGATATGTTTACATTTATTTTGGAGAGCTTCTGCATTTCGGAGATTTCATGCGATATTTGGCTGTTCGATTGTTTGTTTTCCTATTTTCTTGATGAACACATAACATGATTCAACTACTACGGCCATGGCAGTGTGTATGGGACCGTTTGTGAAAGAAAAAGCGCGTGTCGTATTCGTTCAGACACAACCAATGGACTTTGCACCCAAAACAACATATATTCATTTACGTTTAAAGGTATTGCAAGTGCTATGGATATGCGTTAATACCGAAACAAAATCGAGTATGCGTATCTAGAGTAGTAGCTTTTGTGATTGTGTCTGGCTACAGTAACATCAAAAATGAAAAAATCCAACGCAAACCGATCCGAGTCCAATTGAAAATCAACTCAGTATTCATAAGGTGCTTACAGCGAGTCGATGTTGCATAGACTCTTGGAATAATACATTCAAAGCGCATCATATTTACATTATTTATACAAATTTTCTTTTTGTAACCGTTTGGAGGAACTATGTGTGTGCGTACGAAATTTGTTGAACATCCAGCATCAATTGAGATTCAAGTTTATGAGTTTTGATCAGTCGCCAACTCTAATATTGAGGCTAAGTTTCATAAAACAGAAAATCTCTTGAGATTGTCCGGAGCAAATATGTAAGTTGATCTTTTATTTGATACTTGTGTTCGCTGAAATTAAGATAAAATTGCAGAAAAATTTCAATGTACTGCGCATGCCACACGGATTTGATGTATTGTAATAAGTTTTACTCAAATTGCGTTTCAAAATTGCAACTTTGTTCGCCGTACAAAGTGCAATTAATATCAAAATGTAAATCAAACGGGGCAAAGAACTAGTTAATTATAATGTAGTGATAGTGATTAAATTACGATTGTTGTTGTTGTTGTATTCATTTCCGTTATGAGTTTGAATTAATTTTCGCATTTCAGAAAACTCAAATAATTTTCGTGGGTTATTCAAACTCTGATATTATTCAACATGAAAGTGGATAATTCAAATACTTCGAAGACCAGCAGCATTGCCACACAATTGCTAATAGCTGGAACTGCTGCGTGTCTCGCTGATGCGGCCACATTTCCATTTGATACGGCCAAGGTGCGACTACAATTGCAAGGTGAATCCACAAATTTGGGCAACCGCAAAGTTGGATCGAACAATGTAAAAAATTTATTGAAAATACAAGCAAAGCGACCGTTAACAACGGCTCTACCAAGCAATGCATTTAGACCGACAGGCCGTGGATTCATTTCGACAACCGCATTCCCCGTTCCAACCCACGAAATACCTGCACAAATCGAAAAGATTTCAAAAACTAATCTACAATATCGTGGACTTTTCGGGACGATTGCCACCATTGCGCGGCAAGAGGGTGCGGTAGCCTTATATAATGGTCTTTCTGCAGGTAAATTAAATCAATTCCAATGTAGACTTTTTGATTAAGGGTGTTTTGTTTTGAAATTTAAAAGTAGAATAAAAAGACGTAGACTTCATTTCAAAGATAATTTAATCATGCTCAATTAACTCTTCAGGGCTACAGCGACAGGCTGTCTTCGCGTCGGTACGTCTAGGACTGTACGATTCGGTGAAAGAAATATATCAGAAAATGTTCACCGAAAATCCAGAGGGGTTGCATGTAATGACACGAATGCTCGCTGGTATTACTACCGGCGCCATGGCAGTGGTTGTCGGCCAACCCACAGAGGTGGTTAAAATTAAATTTCAAGCACAAAAACGTTTGCCGGGAAGCCAGGCACAGTTCACATCAACACCGGAAACATATCGAAAGATTGGTCGGGAAGAGGGTGTTCGAGGCTTATGGAAGGGCGCCATGCCAAATATCGGGAGAAATGCGGTAGTAAATGTTTCGGAAATCGGTTCGTATAATTTGTTTTTGATTTTTTTTTTTTAATTATTGTAAATTTTAAATTTAACATTTATTAATAAAATTCTAATTTATCAATCATTTCTTGATTTATTTAAATAAATGTAATTTAATTGTTGGTATTTCATAAAAAAAAAATAGTTTGCTATGATATTGTTAAGGAATGTCTTATGGTATACGGTGAGATGCGGGATAATATCTATTGTCACTTCACCGCTGCTGTTATAGCAGGTAAATTTTATCTTAAACTCCAACAAAATCAACATTATTGATTGTTGGTTTTCCCCTTGTTTTATTGAAAATTTGTTTTTTTTTCCTTCAATTTAACCCAGGTTTTGCAGCCACTGTTGCCGCTTCACCCGTTGATGTTATCAAAACCAGATACATGAATTCATCAAAGGGACAGTACAGCGGAGCCATTGATTGTGCCAAAAAAATGGCGAAACAGGAAGGTTTCACGGCATTTTATAAAGGGTGAAGACTATTTAAAAAAAAATCATCACATTACATTGTTCTGACTCATATCTATTTTTACTACAGATTTGTTCCAGCTTTTGCACGCTTAGTGTCTTGGAACATATGCCTATGGATTACATTCGAACAAATAAAAAAACTAGTCTATTCCAATAAAAAGAATTAATGTGATCACTCGAGTCATTAGTATAAGTTTTGAGTTTAAAAAAATAGTATATATACTGTACAAATGTAGTATCTACTTACTCTTTACATATATTTTTTTTCTATATTTTCATTAAATGAATAGTAGTAATGCATACTACAATAGTAGTATTTGTATATTAACTTTTAATCCAGCTATATTGTATCCGGACTCAAATATAAAGAAATCGTGAATATAAATTGAACTATTGCATTTATTGTAATTGGTTCTGAACAAAACGAGTTGTATGAATTATTTTGATGAGCTCCTTTCAAAAACTTTGCTTCAAAAAATTCCATCATTTAATTTCAATATAAAGTGTGGATGTAAATTTTCCCAATTGGTATGGCAGATTTAGTTTGAGGGCGCTTTTTTGAATTTGAAACCGCCAAATTCGTATCATGTGACAGTTTGAACAATGTGAAGTTGGTGCTGCTGCGTAGTCGGTATATAAAAATGTCACTGCTCGTATTATTATCATTGCTACTCGATGTGTGATTTGTAAGCAACTACGATTGAAGAGTTGATTTAATTTTTTTTAGTATTTAGGAAAGCTGACAATGGATGATATTTCCGAAGATGGCTTCGAAACGGAAGAAAACTATTATGCGTATTTGAATATATCAAAATCGGCAAGTTTTCCAATTGAATATAGAAAAAAAAATGTCGTAATTTCAATGACAAATCATGAAATCGGTTGAACGCATGCAAAGAACCAATGACAGAACGATAGAAGGGAGAAAAAAAAACCCAAAAATTCATTGAAATAAATTAAAATCTGTTTTATGTTATGTATAAATTTAAACAAGTTGTAATGTCGGATTTTCTTTTAGGCTTCGGCTGATGAAATCAATGCTGCTTACCGCAATTTAAGTCGAATTTATCATCCTGATAAGCACATTGATGCTGTGAAGAAGAAAAATGCGGAGATTTTATTTAACCGAATTAAGAAGGCATATGAGGTTAGTAAACGGGCAGCATCCTTTTGAATTGACCAAGCGTTTATGATTGTTATTTGTCGGCTTAGGTCTTGTCTGATCCACATAAACGTGCCATTTACGATTCACTTGGAGTTAAGGGCTTACAAACAGAAGGATGGGAAATTGTGCATCGAACCAAAACCCCCGCCGAAATTCGGTACATTACTGTCTATGATCTTTAAGCATTTTTTCAACATTTTCAAAAGTCAAAATACTTTATATTTGTTATACATTCATTTCAATAGGGAAGAATTCGAGCGCCTGGCCCGTGAGCGAGAAGAACGAAAGCTACAGCAAAGAACCAATCCAAAAGGAAATATCACGATAAGTGTCAATGCAACAGAAATCTTCAATCCATATGATGATGATTTCGAGTATGTCCGGCAAACTAAAGTTTGGCTCTGTTATCAAACTGTCATTGACCACTACTATCTTTTTATCCTTGTGCAGGGATAGATCGTTTCCAAATATTGAAGTGTCTGGCATGTCAATATCTCAAGCAATTGATGCACCAATTACCACTAGAGATACAATTTCAATGTCGGGCAGTTTATCGTCACAAAATGGAAACGCACAAGGTACGCACTACTTATTGCTAGTCTGAAAAATCATTGAATCGAACGCTTGAAACTTGAATTTTTGTTAATTTGTTCGGTTTTTGAAGGTGGCTTCTTAATATGTGGACGCCGCTTAGTCAATCAGGGTTGGTTTGAGTTTGTGGCAGGTGCGGGAAATGGTCCAGTGGTCGGTGTAAAAGCGTCACGAAATTTAACAAACAAAGTTTTTTGCAACGGTGATTTCACGCTAAATTTTCGCAAAAATGGCATCATCCCTGGACTTGTAGGAAGTGAGTAAATGCATCATTAGTACATTGTAATTCATCAGTCCGACTCATTTGCTTCAAATGTTAAAAACTCATAAAACTTTCAGCGCTTGCAGTTCAATTAGACAAGCATACAGTAGGTTATCTCACGTACAATGCGGGCCTTCAGTCATCCATGTCATGTGTGCTCGAACGCAGTACCGAAAAGCAGCATTTCTTAGTAACCTGCTCTGTCGGAATACCTCATTCATTCATTTCCTGTAGCTACACCAGGAAACTTATTGACTACGAACTGAAATTGCGACTAGCCGCGAAGTAAGAGTTTGAGTGACGTTGTTCTTTTCTTTCGAATAATTGTCTGAATCTATTCGATTATTATAGAGTTGGGACATTCGGTTATATGGCAGAATATGGAGCTGAAAAGAAAGTTTCGAAGTACAGTTCCGTTGTTGCTAGTGTATCCGTTGGACAGCCTACAGGAGTTATCATGAAATTGAAGTGAGTTTCTAACGTGAACTAATCAATTAATATTAGTTTATTGGCGTTTGAAATGAATTGAATTTCGCATTATGGATCTTATTTAACCAACAGATTGATTCGTTCAACGCAATCATATATCTTTCCAATTCACCTGAGTGAGGATATTATACCAGCGGCTGTATTTTATGCGACTGTGACACCACTCGTTGCATGGTTTGTTGTGAAGAAAGTGATTATCGAACCAATGAACGCCGAACAAAAGCAACGTGATATTGACAGAATCAAGGAAACCAACAAAAAACGGTAATTGAGAATTCGATGGTTTTGAAATTCTGTGATTTTTATTCAATACGTATTTGTGAATGCAGGATGGCCGAAAAGAAGCGGGAGGCAGAAGCTGCTGTTGACTTGATGTCCGTACAATATGAGCGAAACTATAGTGAAGAAGAAAAACGGAATGGGCTTCTTATAGGTAACAAAGTCTTAAAATCGATCAAATACATAATTCGTGCAGCATAACTTAACGAAATTTCTTTTCCAGTATCTGCCATTTATGGAAAAATTGTTGACAATTCCGAAAACAGTAAGTTCGCGTATAAAAAAATAAATTTGATCAAACATTTTATTGAAATAAATTGTGTAAATTAAAGGCTCCGACAGCACCAAAAATGGCAACCAAACAATCGATGTTAAAATTCCGCTTCAGTGTTTGGTAAAAGACAGTAAGCTTGTTCTGCAGGAATCCGGAAAGGTAATTAAAAACTAATTTCAACCGAATTCATCCATTAATCGCCACTTTTGACTATTTCAGTCTGAATTGCCGGGATTCTATGATCCGTGTGTGGGTGAAGAGAAGTTATTACAAATTGAGTACACGTACAATGGCCACAATCAAAGCATAAAAATAAAGGAAAACGAACTGCTTCGGTTACCTCTGAGTTCATCATGATCAATCACAACTTTGCGATATAATGCATGCGAGGACGTGTGAAATTCAACTAAAGCTCGTATTCGTATTCGCAGTTGTACCGTACAAAATCAATTTGTAGAAACATTACATGTATTTAATACGATGCGAAATTCCCCCACTACCTTTTCTTTATTACTAGAACTATTGTTAGAATTTTACCAATGAACATTTATTATTACTGCATACCAAGCTCATGTACACAATGCGAACAAAAAAGAAATGTAAAAATTCGGCACCATCAGTTTTGCAATGTCCAAATCAGTAGTTGAATAGATGATCGCTTTATTACGGACAAAGTCTGAAGTATTCGTAGAACGGAAAATTGTTTAAACAAAAGCAACAAAAATAAAGCAGTTTCAAACGCATAGTTGAATGTGTATTTTTTTTTCTTGATTTATTCATCCATTTTAGTACTTTCATCAAGCTTCTGTAAATATTTGCGACCAATTCGATCAAGTTTAAAATGTTGCAAATTTATACTGTCTCCATCCCAAGATATAAATTGCTTGTATTTTTGGGGGTCGCATAAATCAATCAGCTCTGCAGATGAGATAAATCATTTGTTAAACATTTAATTGTACGGAATACAAGTAGCTATATATCGTTTCATACCAATTCCAGCTCCTTCGAACTCGCCCTTTTCGCGTTCCATACTCATTTTGATAACGGCCAAACGGCTTGCGTGTTGATTTGTACGATTTTTCGATATCGACTGTTTCAAATTGATTGTTTCGAGTTCATCGCTGAATCGATTCAAGTATCTATGAAGCACACACAAGCGAAAAATAAATGCGAAATATTTTCCATTAATTCAAACAGATTGAGCAATGAGCATTCGGAATTGAAACTGGCTTACTGTTCTATGACCTGTGTGAATTGTGAAGGTGTTAAGCACGGTTGCTCTCCAAATTGTTCCAACTTATCTGTGAACCAGGCAAATCTTTCACCCATCACATTCGATTTGATCGCATGGCCTATCTTGATTTTCGTACGATTATTGAATCTAAATGATAAAATAAGAATCACCATGCTATTTATTCGATGGTACAATGATATGATGTTTGTGATGTACCTTTTGGCTTTTTTGGCAGCCTGTTTAGTTTTTCTACTATTTGGATGCTTTAGTTTCGATATATCCTTTAGGATGCTTGTTGGCGGCTAAAATATAAATGATATGTCTTTTATAATCTAATAAAATCGAGGTTTTTTATCATTCTTCTCACCATTTTTCAAAACTTTTTCCACTTCTTCTTAAAATTAGGTTCCACAATAAAAAAAATGGTCTTGAATTTTAAACGAACCAACTTAAATATAAAATAAATACATATGTTTACGGCAATCGATTGTTATTATTTGTGTATTCCTCGTGGTAGAATTAAGTGTGGTTATGTCACGGATTTTGACAGCTTTCCGTCATTCCTCACATCATTGGTCAATGGGCATGAAGTTCGTTAGCCTGTCAAACTGTTTGTATATAATAATCCGAAGGTTAAACAACAAATTTTGTTGCATTGCTTCGCAAAATAACTTGGTGATTAGCGAAGCAATTTTGTGAAAACCGCTTTACGTGCACATCACTTGTCTTATTCAGCATTTATAATTTTCGTAATATCACTTCATAAAAAATAATCATTACATTCCAGTCAAGTCCGTCGAACATCAGTATCCAACATTCATATTCTATAGAAAGAAAAAAACGTTTAGTTTAAAGAACAGGTTACACGATGGATGTTGATTTTATAGACGTATGCGGAGTACCAACGAAAATTGTTACTTTGGGCAATCGATTGGGCGAAAAGTTTGATAAAAAAGAAATCGTGCTGTTTATTACTGGCAATCCAGGCCTATGTGATTTTTACATTACGTTTTTAACAACGTTATACAAATTTTTGCAAGGAAACGTTCCTGTGTGGATTATTGGTGAGAGGCCTATATTTGTAAACAAACTGGAAATATAAATAAAAAACTGGTTTATACTGTTTAAAGGTCACGCTGGACATGACGAGCCCGAAGATAGAAAACATCGCATTCCACGTTTGAAGCATAATAAACAATTATACAATATGGATGGGCAAATCAATCATAAGGTTTTATTCTTAAAATTATGAAAGAAAAAAAAATATCGAAACATTTTCGGATCTATGGAAAATCAATTTTTGTCTTGAATTTGAATTTCAACAGGTTGAATTTATTCGAAAGTATATTCCATCGGATGTGAAAATTCATTTGGTTGGTCACTCAATTGGAGCGTATATTTCTCTAAAACTTTTGGACATTGGTGACATTGGCAATCGCATCCAGCGCTGCTACCTTTTATTCCCAACCATCGAATATATGGTAAGTTCTGAATACGTTCAAAAAAGTGAATTCTTCGTGAAAGAGTCTTTTTTCTGGTTTGTTTTTTAGGCCGAATCTCCAAATGGAAAACTCTATACTTCGCTCGTACAAAGATACTTCAAGATAATCTACTATCTAGCTAGATTCTTGCATATATTGCCAACAATTTTGCAAAATCTACTTATAATGATATTTTTCTGGGTGCGATCGATTCCAAGCGAGTTCTTAGAATCGGCACTTATGTATATTCGTCCCAGTGTGTTAAGCAAAATTATATACATGGCAACTGATGAAATGGAAAAAGTGAAGGAACCAGATTATGCGTTAATTGAAAAGAACAAACATCGTTTAACTTTCTTCTACAGTACCACAGATGGTTGGACACCCATCACATACTATGAGCGCCTGATTGGACGCATTCCAGAAATTAATGCACAACTTACCGATAAATATGATCATGCTTTCGTGCTGAAGTCGTCGGCAAATATGGGCGCATTGGTCGCTGAATGGATTCAACAGCACAGTGCTCAAATTTAACTTGCTGAAAATGTCGTTGTAACTAAACCGCCTTTCTCAGGAAAAAGAAAAAGTTACTAATTGAAATGAAAAAAAAAAAGATTTGTTTCTCTTCGAAATTTCACTCTGTAACACGTTATTTAACGTATTGGCTGATGAAATAAAAAGTTGATATGAATTTTATTTAAAATTGAAGTTTATTGATTTTTGAAATTCAAACACAAACAGACTCAGAACGAATCGCTATCGAAGAAGATGCATTATGCAACCAAATGTTGGGAACTAGTTCAAACAACAAACGGTGAATTAAAGATATATCCATAAAATCAAGATTTTGTGTGCACTTCAATGAATCGCTGTTGTGTCATCTCAACCGTTCATTCTCATTGTCATTGTCATCATCGGTGGAAATGTTGGATTGCGTTGAACATTTTGAGATTGAAAATATCTAAATTCGGATGAAACCATGTAATTTATCGTTATCTCTCATCTTTATCTCATTAAATACAATCGATCGTTGATTTTGTGAAAATGTGATTAAACTTATAATTTATCGTTGGGATTTGAATTCTGCATTTGGGCATCAATTGCAACCAATACGAACGAAACGAGAATGAATGCAATCAAACAAACTTTAACAATTCGCACAAACATTTTGTTCGATTATTTTGAAGACAACACTTTGCATCAACTGTACAGCATTATTGAAATTCTCTCTTTTATATAGCCGCTTGTGACTGGTTCCAAATATTAATCTATATGAAAGATAGTATGAATAAATAATTATTTACATAAAAAGGTGTAATGAAAACAAAACAGTGAATAAATTGATCCATCAATTTTACGAACAAAATTATCGCCACATAATAAGTCAGTCGAAATGGTTCAATGTTGCTTGTATTATTGGCATCATTATTTTACACCAAATAATTGCTATATTTCGGTTGCTATTTTTTGTGTCCAAATTGGCTTGCTTTTAACACTTACATTATTTCACATATTTACATAAATTGTACGCATCTTTCGGGTCCACTTATTTAAATCCAATTTATATAATTTCGGCCACTTGTAGCTGAAAAAAAGTTTAATTGCTTCTTCCGCTCCATGATTGTCTCCGTGTCTTAATAATTTATCGTTGAAATGTGAATGAACACAAAACTATAATGAAAATGTTCTTTCATAAATATTATATTGTTGTCGATGCCGAATAATCATTCTCCATCAATCAAAAATAGTCATTTATTTTTTATGCATGAAGACCACAGAGCACGTGGCGCATCTATTCATTGTATGCTGATTTTCTGTCGTCTTTTATTAGGAAGTGTTTAAATGTCTATCGAGTACAAAAGTCTTTTGTGCTCACCTTTCGAAATTATTGAATTGATTACAAAATTTTGACCAATTTCGTCATTTTTATCCGCAGTTATTCCGGTAATAATTTAATCGAAAATTTGGTTTTATGCGTCACAACTGAATTTGCCCGTTAGACATCCGCCTGAGACGATAAGTTCGAATGCATGGGGCGAAAGCACGAAATGCAATTGTTTTCTCTGTGTATTTGATGGTGGATGAGGTGCTCATTGGTAGCAGCCAATATCATCTGAAATGCAAGACGTAACAGACACACCAACAGCTCGTTTTATTACATCAGTATGCGTTCGCTCACACTCGAACGAATGAGGGTATTACGAGAGAATCTATAGTTCAAACTGTTTATCGCACACTCACTGCACAATCGAGCCGTATCCAACGAGCAAAAGGAAAATTTGCTAAAGTAAGAGTGGTGTTTTTGTTGGCGCAATATTATTATGTTTGCGCCCAGAACATATACACACATTCCGACAGAGAATGTCGTCGCGAAAAGACACACGTATATGATTTCTACTCGATTTTTCCACTTTTCACATCGTTTCGTTGCGATTTTAGCCGGCAAACAGATTGGCAACTGACAAATTGTTTGTTTATCACTTCGAACAAATACGGGTGTTTTTTTTGTAGCTTACGCAGTAATTGCAATTCAAATGTTTGGTTTGGTGTTACAAAATTGATAATAGAGGATAATTTCTGTGTAATAAAAACATATCAAGAGAAAAATACTTGTTGATTAAATCGGTGTAACAATGGAATATTCGCATTGGTGATGCCGCGCAAAAAACAAACTGAACCACGTGCTCTGAAACGTAAGTACATTGATATGTTTTTATAAATTGACTTTTTTTGCACTTGATGTTAGAATTTCAAATGTTATATCATGACAATCGTACATACACATATATGATGTTTTTTGAGATAATTTTTTAACAAATATTAGGAAAATTCCATAGAAAAACCAGTGAATATTGAAGTTTTCATATATTTAGTGAGATAAAAATATATGCATTTGGAATTACATTAATTTCAATAAGTCGGAGGTAACACATAATACTGCGAAAAGTCCTTGGTGGAGTAACTTGTTCGATAAGTTGCCAAGAACCAGCAAGATTCCAGTATTGATGGGTGGTGATAGAGGTCCCAGCATAATCGCTCTTGGAAAACTAATAATGCATATCGGGAAATTGATGTAAACGTGCACCGTTGGTTCGGGTGGAGAGTGTCCAATGGAGTGGTACACAGTACACAAGCGTCAATGATATAGCAAGACACGCACATGTTATATCGATACTACTAGTTTTAATTCTCCAAAGACCATACTCATTTCCTCGCAGTTTTCCTCTAACATGTGAACCGGTTCATCACTCATGAGAATAATATGCCCCAAATTTATTTTGAAAAAAAAAACTTTACTTTAAACAAGTTTACAAAAGCGCTTCTTAGGTATGCGAATTGGTTGTTTGTTTTGTTGCTGTGTCCCAGTGCGAATGTGTGCATATGTATGCCTTATATATAGGTATAAATATATATGTGTGTCTGTGTGTATTTGGCTGCACCAAACTATATAGCATACATGTAACATTCAGCAAGAGACCATTGAAATAAAAACGGCCAAATGAACATGCGACCAAATGAATCATACATTTATTGTGATTAACGTTAGAAAACACATCAATATGTACAGCAGCAAGTGGTGGGTGGCACTATGACTCCCCGGGTGCTCATATAGAAAAATTGCTGGATAAGTATTACTTTCGCAATCATTAGATACACTTGTAATTATTCACGGTTCTACCTGTCTCGATGACAAAGTAAACCAACACATTTCGTTTAATGGAAATAGTCTCATGTATCTCGAGTCCAACAATTACAGCATTCTCCCATAATTCAATTGCAACAAATTGCGATCTATACAACAAATAGATAAAAAAAAATAATGAAAAACAACACAATTTCATCACCAGTTAGAAAAAAAATTCATTCCATGTGAATTTTGTAAGCCAAATACAGCTAAAATGTCTGCGTCTAAATGCATTTTGGGATAAGAAGACAACTTTTTGTAACGGTATTTTCTGATTTGTTAGAATGGAATGCATTGATTATGGGAAAAAAAATGTTACCGAGACGACAATGTCTGGAACGAAAACTCCCATTCACAATAAATACATACCTGCAAAAAACACAACTTTTTTCAACCATAGAAATATTTGAGCATATTGTTGGGAATTATGCTTTTGAAATAGAGCCCAGTTAATCTGTTTCACTTTATTTGCTTTCTAAATGCAAGATTCTTCCATCGAAGAATACGTTTGCCGCCAGTCGATTGAACAGAAATGGCCATGGATTTTAGGTTTTATTAAACGGTAAAACGTAATTATTACACTCAATGGTGACATTATAAATTCCAAAATGTGCCACTAAATTATTTTCGACATTTTCTCTGTGTATGCATTAAAAACATTTGAGTTTTTTTAGTATCCGACTGATGATTTATCAATATTTAGTTTAAAAAAAAAATGAAGATTTGGGGATTTGGCAAAAATTCATTGGTTTGTTTAATTGGTTTCAAGTGGAAAATTTTGTAAATAATACAATAGATTTCATTATAATAATTGAATGGATATACACCAACAAAGATGCTCAATACAATTGACTTAAAGGAACACGATGAATCCCTGTCTATCGAGCGGGGGGGCATCATTCTTGCTCCTTGTATACATTTTATTGGTTCACGTGCTTTCGCTATAGTTTAGCATTACAATTTTGTTTTTATTGTTTTTCACTTTCACCGTCGCATCGATGGCCCTTCGTCTCTTTTATTCGAATAAATATTTACCTCAAATGTCGCCTTGTGCAAAATTTTGTCTCAATGGTATCGTTTGAAATGCTGTTGAAGATATATATACGTATATGCATTGCGAACACCATTCACGTCTATATATTGAGCAATTGAGGCGCTCTCTTTCGTACCATCCATGCACACACACACACACACACCCACTGACAACGTGAAACTGCTCCAACATATTTAGATTTGGTCCTGTATATCTATATATAATATAATAATATGATTCCTTTTATTATTACACATATTATTATTTTTTTTCTGTTCCATGTTTAAAGCTCCCAAGTGCACGTTTCGCACTCGAGAGTGGTACACTTATTCTCAATGTAAAGGAATAAATAAATAAACGAATAAAAATATAGCTGGAAAAGGAGGAGAAACGTGAAGCTTCTCTCATCTAATACTGGACCGTATGAAATGGATGTTCTTGAATAATTGCATCGCAGCACACCCAAAATAAAAACATATGAAATAGGTTATTCATTAGTTCAGTGGTTGGTTGCAATTATGAATGGAAATTCCACAAGATAATCTATTGAGAGTGAGGTAGAAAATTTTGGTGCTTTGCTCTCTGTTATAAAGGCGTCTTCTGTTTACATTTTCAGGCATAGATGATCTGGCTCTAATGTCTAATGGTGCGATCGGCGACAAAACCAATGACCATACCGGAAATTTCCGAATTAGTCGACAATTGGAGAATGGTAAGTGTGTTCCTCTGTTGCTGCATGAAACCGGAACAAAACATTTCAACTCTCCAGTACCTCAAAGATAATCATTTTCGACGCACGCTATTGAATTGGGTGCTCGAATAAATACGAACCGACTTGGGTTTGATCAAATTATTTTTTTCAAAAAGATCCTAACTAATTCAAACATATGATCGATAAATTCGATTGTTTTGCTATAGTTTCGAAACACATCATTCACAAATTGGGGCAAAGTTCTGACGCACTGTTTGTGTGTGTGTGTGTAAAGTGTA